TCCCCGCCATCTTGGGCGAGGGGAGGGCGTCCATTTCAGTTGTTCTGTGTTACTGAGGCTTGTTTTATAGTTCAAAAAAAAAAGAGAGAGAGAGGCACCGGCCCCAGGACAGGTGTGCATCTGGCCCAACATTCAGAGAGAGATCCAGGTTGAGGCTGGAAGAGTGAGGGTCTCTGCAGGGAGTGAGAAGGCCAGAAGCTGCTGTCAGGGAGCCTAGATCTATGTTCAGGCCCAGCCTCTCGGACAGCCCTGTGTCCAGCCGGGTCTCCTGCCTGATGCCAACACCCTGGACGTTATCCAGCTGCTCCTAGACTTGTGGCCGCTGCCCAGACTTGAGTCCTGCCTGGGGCATGGCTGCTCAGCCTGGAATCCTGGCCCTGGGGGAGGCTTTGGATCTGTCCGATGGTTTTTGAGCCGTCCTGGGTGCAGGCCTCTTTCTGGGCCTCCCCTGGTCCACGTCCACTCTGTCTGGGGAAAGAGGATAACAGGAATGGCTGGGTCCTGGAGCTCTGATCCCCTGTAGCTTCCCCAGGATGGCCCAGCCTTTCTTCCCAGCGTGATGGCCGCAGAGCCCTGCCTGTGGGCCAGGCCTGGAGGGTCACCGGAGGGCTTGCTGGACAGCCCCTTTCCCATCAGCAGCTGGAGACAGAGATTAAACGTGGGGAGACCCCGCGGCATCAGCTAAATTGATTCTATTACAGCGACTGATTTCATCTGAATGGTCATGACTGTGATTTATGTGGCTGCTTGGGATTCTTTGCTCCCAAATTTATCTCCCGTCCACTTGATATTAATTGAAAGACGATGGAGGAGGTGGGGAGGGGTGGGGCTGCCTGGGCTGACTCAGTCCCCTAACCCCTCCCTCTCTGCCCTGATTGCAGGGGTGCCAAGCACAGCTGTGCTGGGAAGAGCAGGGAGGCAGCGGAGAGGACTCGGTGCCCTCAGTGTCCAGCACACGCCCCCTGACCTCTGCCCTCCCTCCCACCCAGCTCTGGCCCAGAAGCGCCTGCTGGCAGGCGGCCCATCGTTCCAGAATCTTCTTGAAGATGGGACCATCCTCTCCTGGCTGGTGCCCCCAAAGGGCAGGGTGTGGAATGACCCAGGGCAATGCTGGGCTCTTCCGATGATTAGGCTGGAAGCTCAAAGGGCCTCTCTGAGAACTGGGGCGTTACCCCAAGTTTCTTCATGTCCGGGAATCAGAACTGAGAGTTGCTAACTCCTGAGGCAGCCCTGCCCTCCACCCAGGAGATGGGATGGTAGGAACAGTAAGATGGTGGTCAGGAGCCACCCACCCGGTCTCCTCCAGTCTGGGCACCACCCAGCTCCAAAAGCCAGGCTAGGTGGCCAGGGGCTGCCACTGCCCCATGGCACAGGCCACCTTCGGGGACATTGGGGATGAGACAGAGACCTGGAGTGCAGGCCAGGCAGCAGCCCCCTGGGCTACAGATGCAGCCAGAGTCCCTCTAAGTCCCATCCCTACCCCGTACCCTTCTCCCTACCCAGGAGCTCCTGTCCTTGCAAAGGGCAGCACCCCTGCCCACCCTCCCTGGGCAGCCCACAGCTCTTACTGCCCTGTCCTGGGTGGTCAGTGCCTGTGGCTGAGTGGGGAGGATGGGTTTTGGGGGGCCTGCTCCATGTTGCCCATGCCCACCCCTACCACGGGCCCAGTGTGCTCAAGAGGACCCCATCACACGACCTTCCTTCCAGGGCCCCAGAGCACACGGGGCCCCTCTTCCCCTCTGCGGCCCCTTCCTGCTCCCTCTTCCCCCCTCCTCCACCCTCCCTCCTGTCACAGTGTTGGGTTATGGGGATGAAGGACAGAGACAGAGGCCTGGGGCACTGAGGAAGGGACAGAGGCACCCACGCAGCGGGGGAGAGGACAGACGTCCGGAACTGGGTAGAGATGATCTGCCTTGGGTGGATTTGCTGGGGCGGGGGGCTTTCGCATGGTGTGGGGGGCTGGACAGCCACTCTCTCCAGGACCACAGCTTTCTGGGCTGGGGCAGGACAAGGCCACCCATGACCCACTTGCCCTTCTGGGGTTCAGCCAAATGAGGCCCCCACCCCCATGACTCGCAAGGCGGCTGGGAGCTCCGGCACTGCCCGTGGGGATGGTCAGGCTTCACCACACCCGGCTGCTGTGGACTCTAGGGGCCTTGGGGGGTGTGGGTTGCTCCGCCATCAGCTCCAGCGCCAGCCCTGGCCGCAGCCTGTCTTTGGAGGGTGCTGACTGGGGGCCGTTACAGCTTATGGATCCCTGTGAAAGCCTGAGCATCGGGAGGAGCCTGGTGACGTCCGCTGTCTGGCGGTGCTGTCCCAGGTCCCCATCTCTGTGGCCAGCCCTGCCCACTCAGCCTCAGCCTTGCTGGGGCCTGGGCTGACCTCAGGAGCCCCTGCTGGCC